AATAACAAGAAAGTCCCAATAATACAACAAAGTACAAACACGATGCCATGTGGAAGAAGTTCTAATGGACCCATAACAAAAAACAAAAAAAAAACAAAAAAGAAAAGAAGAAAGAAACACTACATATCGAGAAAATAATATGTATAATATGTATTTATGTTTACTTGAATCCACTTTACCACATTCCAACACAACACGCCAAACATCATATGCACATATAACAAATTGTGCCAAACATTCGAAACAATGAGGGAGACTCGAAAAAAAACCTAGCACAACATGCCTGGCGTCAAATGCTCACTTAACACATTGTTCCAAAAGTCCAAAACATCGAGTCTCAAGGAGAAAAATAGAAGAAGGAAAAAAGATTATTTAACTGTAAGTAGGGAGGAGAAGTGGGACGAGCTGCTCGGGGCGAGCTGAAAAACAAAATACTTGCACTCCTTTATTTTTTTAGTGCAAATTAACAAAAAAAAAAATTCTACGAGACGCCCCTGTTCAATTTGCCTCACCAAGGGACGAACTCGTGAAAAGAATCGAGCCACACATCAATAAAACGAGTCACTTGCCCCTCAAAGAGTATGAATTNATGGATTATTTGTTGATGATCATATGTATCTGTACTCTATAATGTCATTGGAATATAGGACATGTTTTGTCGAACTCTGGTCGCAGGCTCACTTTATGTAGACTTAGCCCCTGTTTGAGCCACATTAAAATTTTCATTTTCATTCTTTTACTTATTTTCAACCACACATTTTCAATAAAATAATATTTTTCATGACATCAATAACATTTCCTTCTTTTTCAACCACACATTTTCATCAATTTACTATTTCAAAATACATTTTTTCAAAATAATGTGGCTCAAACACACCCTATGACTCCAAATATGAGTATCCAAGCTTGTCACCGCACTACTCGCACCGCATTCCCATCCAACCCAAAAAGAAAAAAGAAAAAAACTTAAGGGTATGTTTGAGCCACATTATTTTGGAAAAATGTATTTTAGAATAATAGATTGATGAAGAATATGTGGTTGAAAAAGAAAGAAAAGTTATTGATGTGATAAAAAATATTATTTTATTGAAGAATGTGTGGTTAAAAATGAGTAGAAGAATGAGAATGTAAATTTAGATGTGACTCGGGGGCTAAACTGAACAAACACATCATAACATCCGTTAGACAGTCTAATCCAAACACTGTGTCTATGTCCAACAACATTATTCTTGGAACTATCTAACTCTCATGTATGTGTAGGCCCAAGAGAAAGCCTACAACTTTCTTTCTAAAGTCCACTTCATTTCTTACCCTAAGTTACACCAATACCCCGGTGCACTCAACAAATCGTCTACAACATAACTACAAAACGATGCGTTTACAATAAAGTCGCAGTTCGAACACCAACGACTTTAGTAATGATGCACGGAATGTTCGTACCCCCTACAGTCATTCTTCTTTATTACACCGCACGTGCCATCTTCCATTTGTACGCCGAAAATCCCTCCTCCTTTTTCCTTCCAACACAGATAACCACGTACAAATCTTATATGGTACCGTAATAATTGAAATCCAAATTCTACGAGCAAAACCCACTATATCTAGCGAGAATCCCTGATATAGAAAAGGTAATTCTCCGTAACCCTTCCAAATCCCACATATATATATATATATACACATCTGTATATGTGTATATAGGGAGAGGTTCTATCCATTTATATATAGATGGGGGCTGTGACGTCGTCGATGGCGGCGAAATTTGCGTTCTTTCCGCCGAATCCGCCGTCGTACGGGGTGGTGGCGGAGGAGGGGACTGGCAAACTGAGGATGACTGAGGTGACGGAGAAGGATAACGTGGATGTTTTGAAAGTGAAGACCAAGAGGGGGAACGAGATCGTTGCGATGTATGTGAAGAATCCAGTGGCGAAGCTGTCGATTCTATACTCCCACGGCAACGCCGCCGATCTGGGTCAGATGTATGATCTTTTCAGTGAGCTCAGCATTCACCTACGAGTCAACATGATGGGGTACTGAAATTCCTACACATTCTGGAAATTTTTGATCAATAATTTGTTTGTTTGTTTATTTGTATTGTTTCAGTATATTAGGATCGAGAAAGGTTCGATTTTTTTATTAGAAAGTTGTTTGTATAATGACTGTGCTAGAGATTGTGAGGTGATTGGATGGGTGGCTAATTAAAAGGTTTGGTGATTCATCTTTATATTGAGGAATCTGTTGTAAATATAGCTGTTGATTGAGAGTTAGAATTTGTTTCTTGAAGTGGAAAGAGTGTTTATAGTTATTTAATTGACGAAAGTAACTGATCAATAATCTCTCCCACCTGTTATAGAATCTTTATAGATAGATTGGTCGTGGAAACTTAATTTCCTTGTGAGATGTTGTTACAAGATTTTATTTCAGCTACCTTTTTTATTATTGTCCTTTGATTATCACAAATTGTCGTTTTGATACCAACCAATCACAGCATAGGGAAAAGACCAGGCAATTGAACATTCTCATCGCCGATTTCCTAATTACCTATAATTTTGGCAGGTATGACTACTCAGGGTATGGACAGTCCACCGGCAAGGTATGAGAAACAGACTTGGTGGATGTATTAAAGGAATTTTAGGACAAAAATGCTAAATTTTGTATTTATCATTCTTTTGATAGCCAAGTGAGCAGAACACTTACGCGGATATAGAAGCTGTGTATAAATGTCTTCAAGATACTTACGGGGTGAAAGAAGAAGATATAATCTTATACGGGCAATCTGTTGGGAGCGGCCCCACTTTGGATTTGGCATCCTGTTTTCCTAGATTAAGGGCAGTTGTTCTTCACAGTCCAATCATGTCTGGTCTTCGAGTAATGTATCCAGTTAAGCGGACGTACTGGTTTGACATTTATAAGGTAAAATAATTTAATGCAATTAGCACAAGATTGATCTTTTAACTTTCATATATGTTTTCTAGGTTTCATTTTCATTTGACCAAGTTTTACTTTCCCTTGTGATGCAGAATATTGAAAAAATTCCATTGGTTCAATGTCCTGTCTTAGTTATTCATGTGAGTTTTATCTCATTACTTTCTGGAATAAATTACAGTATTGGAGATTTTTGCTTGATTGTAATTGTTCAAATACAATTTTCCATATGTATTCTCATCAGTAATAGTGTTTAATATTTATCCATCCTGAGGCTACTCCTGATCACCAGAAGATGCTGAATCTAATGTAGTTGAGAAGCATCTTTTTCCTGTTTGAACACCAACATTTTGGAGGTGATGGACCAAAGCCATTGTTGGGGTGGGATGAGCACTGAAAAGGCGTTAATGAGAATGTTTTAACTAAAAACAAAGCGTTGGCAGTTACTTTCTCATAACAGGTCTTATGGATTTGAATGTATATAAAGGGGTCTATGAATGTATGAAAACTTAATAATTCATTTTTCATCTTCTAGTGTTACTATTATTAGAGTGTCAACCATCGGCGAAGAAATCACAGGCAATTTAATACAATTAGTTTCCTATTCTTGTTGTAGTACCAAAAGATTTTTAACTCCATGCCCATTTTCTTACTGTACGGATCAGAACATTTTTGAACCCTTTCGTTGTTTCAATCCCCTTAATCCTTACACCACAGTTTAATTTGTTATGCATTGGGATGCTTATTGGTATTAGGCCTTTGATGCATAAGTCATGTAAAATAAAGTCAAAAAGTATCATGGCTCCCCCTTATTGGTAAATCGAGAACTAGTTAGGCGAGAGAAAAGCAGGAGGCTGTCCAGTGAATGTGAAAAATCCTGTCCCATATCTTTAACATAACAAGGTCAATTTTTAAGCAATTAATTTGATATTTCCTCTTATAATATCAGAAAATTTTGCCTCATCTTTCTTTTTAGCACAGCCGAGATATCAGAAGCTAAAATATGGTAGTTGATTATTATTATTTTTAATCTTTGCATTTGTTGTGTATCTATTCATTCCCCTATCCAAGCTGGTGCATTTTTGTGGCGAAATAACTTCTTAGATAGTACCAGAATAATTCCCTTGAACCTGATTCTAAAGTAACTTTAAGCCCTACTTCAGTTCATGCCTAATCCACCCCGCCAAGATTGATTATCATTCCTGTCATCATAAATATGTTATTTTATTAGTGTAAGCGCTACGCGAAGCACTTGAAGAGTAGATGATCGTACTGTGATAAACCTCTGCTGCTATTAATTTGCAGTTTAACCATCCTAAAGGACCCTTTCATACTGGCTAAATCAATTTGTATTGAGAAATTCAGTTAAAAAAATGAAATAATTGTACTAAAATGTCAAAATCCTGGAATACAAATGCCTCTGGATAGAAACTCTTATCTATCCGTAGTTTGAATGTGTTCTTGCAGAATTTACAGGTATGATTTATTCCCTTCTCCCTCATAACACGCTTCTCTTCTCCCATGTATTTACAGGGTACTGCAGATGACGTTGTAGATTGCTCCCACGGGAAGCAGCTCTGGGAGCTTTGCAAAGAGAAGTACGAGCCCTTATGGGTTAAAGGTGGCAATCATTGTGACCTGGAACTTTACCCAGAATATTTTAAGCATTTAAAGAAGTTCATAATAGCAATTGAAAAATCAGCACATTTGAAAAATGAATCTATACCATCTGCAAATCAGATGGATAATGCTCGAAACAGCATAGATTGCCGAGCCAAAGAAAGCACAGATCAGAGAGAGAAGTCTAGATCAAGCACTGATCAAAGAGAAAAACCTAGGGCAAGCATGGATCGAAGAGAGAAATCCAGAACCAGCTTTGACAGGAGAGAAAAATTGAGAAAGAGTGTGGATTTTGCTGAGAAAGCAAATAACAATGCTGAACAGCCAGAGAAAGCCAGGAACAGTATAGATCGGTTGGGCTCAACTTAAATATTTAAGAGTTTTTTCACGTGCATGCTTTTTACTATATCCGTATGCCGTCATGCAATGAATAATATGCAAAAACCTTTTTTTATTTACTGTTGTAATTCTATGGTGGCAGCTTTGGAGATATGATGAGATCGGCTGTTTTATGCAAAATCGACTGTTTCAAGCCTGTGGGTGCAAAGGTCTGAGGATGGATCAGAGGTAGTCCTAATGACTGAAGTTTTTATTTTCACTCATTTGTTGCCCCGTTTTTAACTTAAGTAACTTATAATATAATACTGCACTTGTTTCCTTCTGCTGATGATCTTACTCTCAACTCCTCCCTGCCTACACGTATAGCATTGCATTCATGCAAAATACATATTGATAGTAATGGTTTTGCTGTTTACATTTTCATTGAAGGCATTTTTAAATCCAGAATTCACGGTTGCTAAGTTCCCATCCAAGACACACCTGCTGAAATTTCACAAGAAGGGTTGAAAATGTAATGAATTTTGATTTGGTCCATTCCTCCATGGCATCATCCGTAGCTCAGCTTGCTGGAATCTCACGCACTGCTCTCAACACAAGCAATTGGTTACAGTTGTTGCTGCAAAACATTACTTCAAACCTTAGACAAATCTCTGATTCATCATACATTCTTTTGAGATTCTCAAATTTGTGAAGGAACCAGGTTGGCATACAGATTTGGGTTTCTAAGGTGATTATTGCCACGACACCCCCACCCCCGCTCCTTTCCTCTCTCCCCAGAGAGGTTTGGTTCATGTCTTAAAGATAAATTATATTTAGAGCAGTTTTTGTTCATGGAAGATCAATGGTACAATATTTCGATTCATCTGGCACGACATTGCATTTTATGCCTAGTCTGTTGATGTCCAAATATTTACCAGCTGGATTATGGCAGAAAATATACTCGTTCCTAGAGCAGTATCTTTCAAGATTGTTTCTCGCTTTCCACAAGTGTACAAAGTATTGACGGCGTATATACAAAAATATGAGTTCAAAGGCATTACGAATCTCATCAATCACCTCGATACATACACATATGTGATGTCATTGAAGAACACCCTCGACCCACCCTATTCTCTGCAAGGCCTTTCCTCAATTGGCAAAAAATGGTTGAACGCCCTTTGACCTAACTCCGTTACATGCTTCAACGATCATATGTCAAAATCCGAAAGTCATTTTTGCTAGTGGAAAACTGATTATGAAGACTACAATCCCCATTTGAAACGTACTTTTATATGTATGCCACATACAAAAATTCGAAGGAAATGGCAATATGAAGGCACTTGCTATCCTCATTTGCGCCTTTAAAAGGTGGCCTTAGCGTTATAACAAGAAAAACATGCCTAAGTACACAAAAAATTATCAAATTTAGCCAGAAGTCTTGTAATCTGAGTTGAAATAGCATTACTAATTACAGTTAATCCTGAGTCCCTACGACGGATTTAGCCAAGTTGTTGAAATTGTGTTAATGATTACATTTAATTTATTCATTTGTCTACGTATCACAATTATAATTTCGACATCAAGACTCAATTTGCATCCTACATTTCAATCATTTAATTCTACGTTTTAGAGAGAGCATTGTGTTTGGAGATCCGGTTGGATGTTGAGTAACAATTTTTTTCTTTATTTTCTTGGTTCATTTTTTATTTTATTTGAATTATTTTTAGAGTCTCGTGATATGAACCATTTTTTGTTGTCATGGACTAGTGTGATAACAATGAAAAACACAGGACTAAATTGTTCAAATGTAAGTTTTATGATCATCATGCTATATGAATAGTAATTTGGGACTAAACATTTCCTCCCATTTTTTTCAGTAATCACGCTACATGTACATCATTTTTTACACTATTATTTATATTGTGTCACGTGATAACACATCATCGGACAATTTAAAAATAAGCACTTTTTCACTCACAATTTTTTAAAGACAAAGGATACTAAAGTTGATGTAAGGGTATCAACGTACATTTACTATGATTGTTTTTTCAGTTTTGCAATTTTGTACTGAGAAATCATACAACAGTACGGAAAAGAGGTTTTAGAAGGGTTTAGAGTCGCATTTGTAGACTTTTTGTCAGTACCAACTCAAAACTCTTTTCATTTACTAAAATCTTAGTAGAAAAATGTATTTTTGACACCCATTTTGAACTCCATTCAATTTTCTTGAAACAATAATGTACAGGCTACAGCTGCAAACCTCAGCTTTCTTTGAGCATCAAAATTGATCAGACAAAAATTCCACTGGGTAAGCCTGCGGTTCTTGTTCTAACCTACCCAACAATTCCCCAGTTATGTTGAGAAAATTTGTTAAACAAGCTACGTCAAAAACCCCAAAAAAGCTCTCTCTCAACGTCCAATCATTTTCTCGCACCTGCAGCTTTCTTGGATTCTCCCAAGATTCGACTTTTCCGGGGAAATTTAAGTTTAGGCCCCTTTTTGAGCTTAATTCTAGCTCCAGTATTTGTTATCCTGAACTGAGTCTTCGAAAAATTGGCGAAGTTTTTACCCGGGACCAAGTTGTGGGCAGGCCTATTTTGAGCGGTGTGAGAAGCCAAGTCAATAGTTATGGATTGTGCCCAAAAAGTTATGCCTCTGTGGCAGAGGCTGTGGCGGTATCACCCACTGATGTGGAGGATGATTATAATCATGTTAATCTTTCTGTGGCTGATGAGTTTCAGGAATTGTTAACCGAGATGAAAAAGGAGGAGAGGAAACAGTATTGTATGCGCTGGGGGCAGCAAAGCGTTCATGGGATGGGGAAACAGAAGTACCAAGCGCTTAGGAGGAGGCAGGCTAGGATCGAGACTGAAGCATGGGAGCAAGCGGCTAAAGAGTATAAGGAGCTTTTAATGGATATGTGTGAGCAGAAATTGGCTCCCAATTTGCCTTACATGAAGTCTTTATTTTTGGGATGGTTTGAGCCGTTGCGTGATAAGATTGCTGCAGAGCAGGAGTTCATTCGGAAAGGGAAGAGTAAGGCTGCCTATGCCAAATATTTTGATCACTTGCCAGCTGACATGATGTCTATTATTACAATGCATAAGCTAATGGGACTGTTGATGACCGGAGGTGAGCATGGGTGTGCGAGGGTAGTTCAGGCTGCTTGCATGATAGGTGATGCAATTGAGCAGGAGGTTGGTGAGCTATAGATTTTTGCATATCCAACTGCCTTTATTTGAAAGGCTAGTTGGAAAATTTTATGACTTAGTTATATTGCCTAGTTTTAGTTGCTCACTTGCTTGAACTCACTATTTACTACTTAATAAAATAAGGACATCAAATTATTATTGGTAAGTGGTAGCATTTTCGGTGGCTTCCTAGTGTCAACAAGCAAGATTGAATTCTGAATATGTGGAGTGTTGTTGTGAAGAGAGCATGTTATGTAGAATTTAATATTTCACAGCACTTGAAGTAGATTAGATAAGACTGGGAATATTTGAGATGGTTTCACTACTGACTTGCTGGACATTTAGGATTCATTAAAGGATTAAATTAAGGTAGTAGGTAGGAAATTAGAAGTGTTAAACCAGATAAGACTCAGCTTGCTATTTAGGAGATCATGATATCTATTGAAAGTGTGTGCCGCATGCCCGGAGTGTGTTTGGAACATTGCCAAAGTATTAATAAATGGATGCAACAAGCTTGAATTAATGAACAAGGGTGTAATTTGCCTATTTTTAAAATTAGAAAGGGTGGGGTGCCTTTTCTGGGGACATGGGGGTAATATGCTTTTATCCATTTCAGAATCTTTTATGGTTGGTTGATTGTAATTGTGGCTTGTTTTATTATTTTCCTAACAATTTCTGTCATTGATCAGGTTAGAATACACAAATTCTTGAAGAAAACAGAGAGGCAAAAAGTTAAAGAGACAAAACAGGAAGGAGGTGGATCTGATGGCAATGACCAAGAACAAGAAGAGTTACGAAAGGCGGTTAATAATTTGATGAAAAAACAAAAGCTGCTAGCAGTGAGGCAACTAGTTAACGGACAGGATGATTCAAAACCGTGGGGCACTGATGCTAAAGCAAAGGTCTGACCTAACTCTTGTACTCATTGCATGAAGTTTACAGTTTTCTTACAAGCTAAATGTGCAGTTATTTTAACTCTCAGGTTGGCAGCCGACTCATTGAATTGCTGCTTTTAACAGCCTATATACAGCCTCCAGTCGATCAGTTAGCAGACAGTCCACCTGATATTCGACCTGCATTTATACACACTTGTATAACTGTGCGGAAAGAAACAAAGCAAGTTTTTTTTTAAATTCTTCTGTCTTATAAGCAAGCTTTCTTTTTGTTGCTTCAAGTCTTCAACAGTGCTTACTAGCTTCTCTTTGTGCAGGAACTTTAGCAGAAGATATGGTGTTATCCAATGCGATCCACTTGTCACTAAAGGCCTTGAAAGAACTGTAAGTTACTTTATTTCTTCATATTCTTCTTTGGGAAAAGCCAGATACAATTATTTCGAAATAGCACAATTATTAAGGCATGACTTGGAAATTTATTTTTAGTTCACTTACTGTATTAAAGTTAGACTAGTTAGTGTATTAAATCTGAGAAAGAATTTATAACTAAAGAATCTTTTGATGAACTCCAATGTATAACTTGAAGTTCATGTTAATTTTTTATCATCTCCCGTATAAATTAATACCTAAAAGTTAATATTTTGTTTACAGGCCAGGCACATGGTCATCCCTTATATGCCAATGTTAGTGCCTCCAGTCAAGTGGACCGGGTATGTTAACTGGGTGGTTCTGATTGGAAATGTCATTCTCTCCTTTTCTTTTTTATATAATATCTTGAAAGTATGAATTTTGATCAATCATCTTTAATTGGTATATTATGTGACTTCTATTAATACTAAGACGCTCAAGAGATGTTGGATGTGACACATACTTTTAATGGATGGATTTGAAACTAGGACTATGTAGTCCACTGGCCTATAGGAGTGCTATTCTGTTTTTCCTGATTAGATTAGGTTACCAGTTCAACAATAAAAAAAGGTTGATGTTTCCCCTAGCTAATTTTTACCTATTAAAGATTCTAACATGACAGTTTCGTGAAATGCATCAACAAAAGCATGAGCTCAGATTCAAATGAAAAGACTGCATATTTCTGCACATCTATTCTTAGCGTGGATACTTATTGGATTCTTTATTGTCTTTCAAGTTTTGATACTTTGGTTTTATATGCATGACCTTGCCAAATACTTGATATTTGGACATGTGTATTGGACACCTGTCTGTTATGCTGCATTAACTATTTCAAATAAACTGGGAACACCCACTTTGAACAGTTTGTACTGTCTAAAGAAAAAGTAAAAATAAGTCAAATAAGTACTTATCTTATATTTTTCCTTGCACGTGTCTTTTATATTTAGAGAGTAATTTTTTGATGCGTG